GCAAAAGCCCTTAATTAATGACTGGCTCGTCCCAACTGTTTCCTGCAACTTGTTTTTTCCCATGCATCAGTAGTCAAACAGGTCCCAGCAACGTACCAGAAGTCACCGCGAGAGTGTTTAGTGGGACTTTCGAAGGCATCAGCAATCCGTCTACACAAACTGGTTCAGCGTGCAAGAGTCTTCCATGCAGACCCTGATTATACCATGGTCAATGACTATTTAGGTGATCAAACGCTTACAGATCATAGCGGGCCATCTGTTTCAATACATCCGCGATGTCCACGTTTGCTTACCCCTCACCACCCTTTCATCATTTACTTTATTTTTACCTCACTTTACTCTCCCTGTCTCACCCTTAACTCAGATACAACTCCACTGCGCAATTTTGCCGGTTTGATGAGAAATTATCAAAAACGTAAGTAGGTCCGCCAGCCTGTCATTTGGAAAACGAGGTTTGAAACTACAAGTTCTAGACAAGAACAAATCATTAAGACAATGTTTCTTGCGTCAATGAGCACACAAAAACTCAAGTGCAAGCCAAACCAGTCGTGATTGTCTGCACAAGAAAGGAACGAAGGAGGGAACGTTGTCTGTCTATAGCCAATCAAATAAATTTAAACTATAATTCTGTTGTATACCGGTATTCCCGCGCGTATGTGCTGCATCCTTATTGGCATTGACCAAAAATATGTTGCGCTGAGCATACGCATGCCAGTGCTGGCGTGATCATGCAATAACAGGTGGGCTTCGGTGGGATCAATCTGGGCCCCAAGGAACGCAGACTGCAGAGAGTGCGATGACCATTTTTCATTTGCCATAGTCACACCCTGACTTACAGTGGGTCGTTGCATGTGAAGGAGAATGACAGCCCCACATTATTCAGCGTCTGTCAACGTCCAATCCTCCTATTACCTCTGTGCACGTCCTCATGCCTAGTTAATGACTATTTCTGATTTAACTATTTACTGCACACACTTCCCATTTGATGTTTTATTCAAAGGTTCCACAAGAGCTGCCTACTACCTCATTCATTAGTCTCAACAGGCTTGGATAAAGTCTTTGTGAGGATGGTTGGCTCTGCTAACTATGGGGACGTTTAAACCATAATTTTTTGGTTTCCGGTATGGGAAACCAATCGTCGATAATGGTTCAAAAGCTATTACAGTAGAAAGTTATGTGGGCACTTTACTGAATGCGCTTAACTAAAAGAAGCTAGTAAACAGATTATAAGGGTCCATATAACCGAAATAGGAAGAGATCGCTGACCAAGTTCAATCTCCTGAAAAGAAAGTAATGCAATCATATTGTTTCGATCTGATTGCTTATCCATAAGACGGCAATGAAATACTTTGGTACAACCAACATACATGAATTTCCTCAAACGACCAGCATTTTCCTTCGACGAAGGTCACGTCAGACGGTGTTTTGGACGAAGCCTTTGCAAATTATTTCTTGTACGCGTGACTTCCCTAGACAGTTTTGGAATAACTCCGTGGACAAGGGGTTAATACAGTCTAAGGTGCTTTAATTAGAATGAGCATACTTAGTCGACAGGTGCCTGAGTTCGATCTCAGAAGTAGATATCTAAGGCGCGTATCTTCGTTAAACTGCACTCGTGGGAAGGCAAAACATGAACGGTGGTGGTGGCGCTGTCCTCGACGAACTATTCATTGGAGGAGAGCAATGTGGACCTGCAACTAGACTCATCTTTGGACTGCAGGGCAGTCGAATCAGAGTTTGGGATGCGAGTGAAAGGCGCTTCATGAAATCTATTGATCTCATTGCCCAAGCCGATGAAAAGTCGTGACAATCCGCACCCGCAATCGCCGGCGCTACAGTTTACTCGTGTCGCTTTTCTGTCCGCTTCACGCTCCTTGTCGATTCGCCACTGGAACAACGCCATACTTAGCATTAGTGGCGAAAACTCGAGACCACTGAACAGTACGTTCTTCGATGATTGGCTGTGGGCGGATAAAGCCAGGCGCACGCGCCGGGATTCGACAATCTCAACAGCTCTGCTCTAACGTGTGATTTGGGGGCCCACGAGTTTGCCGACGATTCACCTTTCGACAGGGTCACTAAAAGTGTAGAGAGGAAATGGCAAGCATGAGCTCTGATTAGGCATCGAAGTGCTAATGAGGGAGAGTGCCTCCAAATGCTGGGGGAACAGTTATCATCAACCTCAAATGGTCCAAAACTGTGAGTGTTGCATGATAGTGATGCGGCTGCCTATCGAGGGAGAATGATCTAAACCTCCAAAAGATCAACGGAATGAGAAGTCTTTTGTTGCTGGCACGATCACCAGACCCGAATCCATTTAGGCACATGTGGGAATATGAAGAGGAAAAAGCAAACCATACGGTATCTCCACCTGATCAAATGTTTAGAAGTTGTTTCGACTTAAACCAGGGACGAAATATTCATTCGGCTTGCCACTCAGTTAGTTGAACTGTTATGGACACTTCGCTAAGTTATAGCGCCGATGGGTTGAAATACGAGTTACGGAGAACAGTGTACTGAGCTCCCCACTCACGCTCTACGTCAGCACCTTCAACGGACCTCCCCCCAGTTGCCCCCAGCGCTGAATTCCTTACTGGTCGTTCAGCAGGCACGTTGGCGTTACCTCTCTATCCAGACGGATCGTTCCTCCTACTGTAACTTTTATCCATATTTGTATTATTTATCATTGCTCGACGCATCAAACTCCCTGTTTCTAGCATATATACTACGTACTTTTTAACCTTTCCTCCTCCTTGCTTGGATCAGAGTAATGACGTGTCTAACAACCTTGTTCGTCCGGGCTAAATCAGGACTTGTCGCCGGTGCATCACGTTACCCTGTGCGTGCTACTCTCGTTGTTTTCTGTCATTGATACTCACATCACCCTGGCGGACAGACGTGCGCGCAAGCCCAAAGCTGGCCGCGCGTCGTGGGCTCTGACCACCCGAGTTTCTGTACCAAATATACGCCTTCTACTGGTGTCTTGGTCTTCATCCCCTAAAATGGGACTGGTCTATGGTTATTGCGGTTCTCTGAGTATATGCGCTGCTTGGATACCGCAAACGTACCCTAAGCACCGAAATCACTCTGCCGGATCCCAGTTGACATGAGAATATGAGAGACATTCGAATGGAAGATTATTTTCTGTACGAAATTCAAAGTTGCGCTCTCCGACATCAGTGGTCGCTGGCAAGGTCATAGCGTGCGCTGACAGTGTTTAGTGGTGGTTATGAGCTCGATCGCTGTTTGTGGGGAGCGAAGTAAAGGGCTTTCTGGGTTACCACTTTCGGGATATCGGCAGTTGTGACTCCCTCGGCATGTGCTCGTCTATGTTAAATTCAGTCAGGGCAACCCTCCGGCTTGACGTTCAGCGCGTCTCAGAGGTTTCGCTGGCAGGGAAGATGGCAAAGAAGCAATAAAACATTCAAGGAAAGTACGATGAGTCTTTTTGCTGTTGCCTTCCAGGGCATTGCAAATACTAAAGAAATCGACCGTGGGACTGAAAACTGAACAGCTTTTTTGCATCCGGTTTCACGGACGAAACAAACCTTAACAAGTCTGTTTTTCCAACTTTAAGTAATGGCTCAGCTGTAGAAAACACTTATTGCTCAGGAAATGCCATGCAGTAGGGAGGTCTTATGTTTGGTATAGCAAAGTCTTTAGTTGTAACTTTTTACTTTTCCAGAAACCGATAGCTAAGTCGGAATAGATTAGTCTGAATTTAATTTGCCCGACTCAGACCGAAGGTTGGTGTGAATATTTTGGCCAAAATGCACCAGTGCTCTCAAGCCGGGTAAATGTGTTCCATCATGGTTGTTGTCCCTCCTTATCTACAACAGTGATCTGACGTGTTTACTTTTGAACAGCCCTTGACAGTTCGACCATCGATTTCGATGATGTCCACCGTGTGCCCCACAGCTGCAGCAGCGGTGGGAGCAGGGATGGTGACTTGCGCAGGGGTTTATAGTGCCGGTAGACTTGCGCTGCATCTACCTACACTCTCTCCTCCTCCCTCGCCCGAGCCCGGTGTCAAGACAGAGTCAAGAAGACCGCAGACGAGGGAGGCCGCAGGTGGATGGCTCGGACGGATCCTCACCTTGGCGTTCCACCATACTCCCTGGTCCACACAACAAATAACCAGGATTTCAACCAATACAACCGAGACTGGAGGCTGGCACGGCCGAAGCCGCACCTAGGCGTGCCGCCGACGCCTGGCTCGGATCCCACACTGTGGTAGGAGTGCCATAAAGGCCACATTAAGAAGGAGCCATTGCAGCCTGACTCTCAAACCCCCACCAGTCGAGGAGGAGGTCCAAGTTATCCCGTCAGTTGGCAACCTTCCAAGCCACGGCTTTTAGCGCACCGTGATAGCTTCAAGCGCGTCAGATTGTTTATAGTGAGGAGAAAATGCGCTGAGTCGTCGACCTCACTCTCCCTTCCCATTCCCACACCCCAGCCGCTGTCCGAGCCGGTCAGCAGACTGGAGTGGGACATGGGCGCGGTGGCTGGCATGATCGACTGACCATGACTGCGCGCGCCACGAACACGACCTGGCCCCCCATACACACAAACACCAGGATTCCACACAACGGGGGTTGGACGGCGTGTCTCTCACTTGCGTGAGAGTGCCGTGGAAGGTGCTGTTTCAGCCCGTCGCCCAGCCCACCAGTCCGCCACTCCACACAACACACACACAACGGGACGAACTGCGTGGACCGAGTGGGGACGTCAATCAACAACCTTCCTATCCACGACGCTTGACGTGTCGGGATAGTCTCAGACTCAAGTCACCCGTGCAGCCGAAGCCGCATGGGGACCGAGTCGAGATGCGGACTTCCCACTTGCGTGGGAGGTGGCAGTTGGGTGCATGAGGTGTGTGAGTGTTGATTTCTGGTGGGGTGATGGTGGTGGTGGCGGTGGCGGCGGCGGCGGCGGCGGTGGTGGTGGTGGAGGCAGGGAGGGAGGGTGTTGTGGTGTGGTGTGGTGTAGCCGGCGGTTGTCTACCGCAGGTCGTCGTGGATGCGCATGTGGCCGAGTAGGCCCATGCGATGCGTGAAAGTGCGAGGGCAGTGTGGGCAGTGGAGGTGAGCTTGGTGGATATAGGTTGGTGCTCCAGGCACTGGTTCGCCAGTCTCCGTGCTATGAATTCGCAAGTGACCGACCAGGCCGAGGCGAGAGGTGAATGCGCGTGGACAGTGTGGGCAGGCGAAGTCGGTGGTGTCGGTGTCAGTTGCGATGAGGGTGATGGGTGATGAAGTGATGATGGGTAATGAAGTGGGAATGGGGTTTGGCGTGGTGGGTGAGTCGGGAGGGCGGTCAATTCCGCTCTCGTGGATGCGCATGTAGTCGAGTAGGCCCATGCGATGCGTGAAGGTGCGAGGGCAGTGGAGGCGAGTGCGGTGGGTGTAGGTTGGTGCTCCTGGCACTGATTTGCCAGTCACTATGCGATGGATTCGCAAGTGGCTGACCAGGCCGATATGTGAAGTGAAGGTGCGGTCGCAGTGAGGGCAGGTGTAGTCCTGGTCCAGAAACACATATCGAATCCACTTAGTAAAGACTACTAAAGGCATCGAAATTACTGAAAACATAGATAAGGTTGAGTGTTTTTCAGTCTTTCCAATGGATATACATACTCGAAGAACCAAAGGTCCTTCAAAATAATCTGCACCGACTGCAAATGTGGTCCGAGAAGTGGCTTTCGGTTTTCAGTGTGCAGACGTGTTCCGTCCTTCATCTGCGTCAAACCAGCTGTCACTTAAATGACAGCACGAGGGTATATCACCTGAAAGACATTCCTCTTCCCACAGACTCTTCGCAGAAGGATCCCGGTCTTTGGATACAGAGCAGCATATAACCAGTACTGTAATGCACCAAGGCTGCAAAAAACGTTATGGAGGTACTCAATACAATCAGGAGGGCGTTTGTAACTTTTGACAAAGATATTTTTGGGAGAGTTTACAGCACCTTTGCTCGACCTTATCTAAAATATGATATACAAACGTTGCGGTCATGCTAGCAAAGGACCGAACATGCCTATAAAAGTACAGCGCCGTGCAACAAAGCTGGTAAAGTAATTAAAAAGCTAATTTTACTCAGAAAGACTGAACTGCCTTTATTTATTCTCTCTGTGTTACAGGCAGCAAAGAGGGGATCTTATCCTAGTTTACAAGTTAATACGTGGCCTTAAGCATGGACTGAGTTTTCAAGACATGTTTAAGTGGCACCTATCGCCCAATCTTCGTAGCCACTCGATGAAATTACGCATTAAAATGCCCAGGCTGAACGTTCGCTCTGAACTTTGTACACAAAGGGTAGTGGAGGATTCGAATTATTTCCCTCAATCAGTCGTGGAGGCGGGATCCCTGCAGCTCCTCAAGAAACGCTTGGATGATTATTTGTGTCCCCTTTTTCCCTCGACAGTCTGGACCTGAGCTAAATGCTCCGTTAACCCCAGGAATTTTTTCATTTTAAACAATGGCAAAAGTGACAATTTTCATTGTCCGTGTACAGGTGCATGTAACTAACTGGCATTTAATAAATAGGGTGTGTAAAGGCCTTGTTTATCATATTTACCATATAAACTGACGCAAACTGAAATACAAAGCAAAGTTGCCTTATCAACCCACTAATGATCTGTGGACGGCAAGCACAAACAATACCCTCATTTCGGTAAATAATAGTCGAAGAGAATAAGAAGTAGTAAAGGGATCAAAGTCTTCAGCAGCAGGGGAGATCCACTTAAGCTTCTCAGAAAACTTGCCAGTGAACTTTATGGACCTCTGTCAATGCTCTTCCAAAGTTCATTTGACACTGGAACATTGCCGGTCGATTGGAATTTGATGCATTTGGCTTCATTATTCAAAGACTGTAGACGAACGTCGATGACGTGTTAGAGGACCATAAGCTTGAAATGCATTCTCGGAAAAATCACGAAAAGGATCATAAAGAACAACTGAGTGCAGAACCTGCTATCGAACAACTAGCACGAGTCCCGAAAGGGAACATCATGCATAACCAACCTGTCGCGATCTCTCCAGAGTTGAATCCGAGCCCCCCGGAATAGGTGCGTAGTCCCTATGGTTTTTGTCTGCTTTCAGGAGGCTTTTAATACAGAGATATTTTTAAGCAAACCTGCAATAGTAGGGATAAGGAGTCACTTCCTTAAATGAATTGAAGATTTAATTGTGGGTCGGCGTCACGTTGCGTTCATGGGTGGGGTTTCTCCAGGACTCCGTACTGGGACCCCTTTTGCTCTTGATGTGCGTGTACGAGTGCACAAGGCAGTTGGACTGTTAAACATTAATGTTTGCTGACTGTATGAAAATTTGATATGTGATCCCGAAAGTTTCCGACGACAATTGACTACATATTAATATGAATCTACGGAAGGAGTGGTCAAATTATTCCCTTCTGCGGTAAACGAAAGATATCGAAACATCCGAAGAAGTTATTTGCATATGTGAATAGGACAAAATGCAATCGGGACCCTATGCCCTGTCTAAATATTCATCAGAGAAATGAATTAACTGATATCTCCGATAAGACGGATCTCTTATCCGACTTTTTAATGTCCGTTTATACTGAGGAGCCACCACCTGATGAGAAAGTACGCCGGAAATCGCCTCACTTAGAGATACAATTAACGCGTTGACGTTCACAACGGACGCAGTAAGGAAAAGTCTGTGACTGCTACAGCTCATTAAATCGCCTCGGTCGGATGACATATCCTCAAAGGTTCTGAAGGAACTCGCAGACCGCCTAGCCCCCCGCTCTCCAAGATCTTCCAAAGTTCAGTGGAGGAGGGGGCTCTGCCTACTGACTGGAAGCTTGCAAACATAAGCTCCATATATAAAGAGGGAGAGAGAACCTTTCCAAATAGCTTCGAAGCAGTGAGTCTCCCAAGCATTTCTTGCAAGTTAGTGGAGAAAATAAAAAAAGGAACTGATGAGACATAATCAATAAAACGACTTGGTTAATGAGGATTAACATGGATTTAGTGGTCCATCCTGTCTCAATAACCTGCTCACGTCAATGGAAAGATGGACGAAACCTTTAGAGATGGGCTTGTTAGCGTTTATTTATGCATGTAGGGGTGTGAGGTGTATGGATGTCCAGTGGAGGGTTCACGTGACGGTTTAGTAGGTCGCTCACATGCTTTCAGGTGTAGACTACGCCTAGCGTCCATTTGCTGACACCAAACTCCCACATGTGGCTCACCAAAGCTAGGCTCTGCCTAGCGGCCACACCCCGGTAACCGCCTCGACCGGCGGGCTAAACCAGGTGAGTGTATCCGTGTGTGCGTCCGCGCACACGATAATGTGGACTCCGCTGATCGGGTGGATCACCACATCGACGTCGCCGAGACGAGACCCCGCCGACCACACGAGGGGAGGCCACAAGGTACGTGAGCCTCCAGGTAAGCGAACGCTGCTCTGCTGCCTTTGCCCCGCTTGTCCTTGTTTGCCTGCTTTCTGTCTGCTTTCGTGTCTGTCCTTGTTAAAAACTAACTGTCGCTCTGCTGAATTTCCCTTGTTGCCTTTGCTTTTTGCTGTTCTGACTGCTTGCTTTTGTCTGCTTCATAGACGTTTTGGCAGATTTGGAATAATTCATATTGACCTAAGTGTGAAAAACGCGGCGCCTTGGTGGACTCAAAACCACGCAGTACGGGGAAGACTTTAGTCATCCGGTGGATTCTAGGTGAATTACTTAGATAATCCTGCTTGGGCAGTCAACTAACTGTATCAGATTTGGTGAATTCCAGACGTTGCAGTAGGTTGGTCGGGTAACTTGACCCAAATGTGATTAAACTCGCGTCATCCGGGGGGGGGGGCTCGTAGCTCAAGTGGTTAGAGCGTTGGCTGTACTAAAGCCTTCCCCTTACTGCGTGGCTTCGAATTTCACCGAAGCGCCGAGTTTTTCACAGTTGGATCAATATGAATTTGGTCTGCTCGTTTGTGCCTATTCTTACTGCAAGCTAAATGCCGTTTTGTTGATTGTAGCTACTCACCGCTCATAATTCAGTAACCAATCAACCTTGAGAATGAGGTGAAAGCTCTGCATCCCGTCTCTCTACCCTTCCCTACCCTCCCCCCATCAGCTTACGTCGATGTCGTAGGCTGTCCCAGATTATCTCGGATCGTCCTTCCGCCACACAAAAGTCGTAACCCATATTGGAGTTTGGCAATCGTCTGGGACAACTGAGCAGCCCTATTTAGGGATAGCACTTCTTACCCCCGCGAGTGGGAAAAGGGTTAAAGAAAGTGCCCTAAAAATGCTGGGGACCCACGCCGTCTGTAGGCTGACCATAGTCGCAGACGTAAATCACACGGTAGAAACACACAAAATCGAAACAACACACTCTTCTCCCTCCCTTCCCCCGCCGCCCACTTGTAAGACTGGTAGGGTGAGTCCGCTCACACTAGCAGCCTGGAATGTTCGTTCCCCTTTAGAAACTCCAAGGAGCACCCGACCGGAACAGAGAATGGCGCTATTGGCTCGGGAACCGGCGCGCTACATGGTTGCCATGGTTGACCCGGTTATCCGAACAACGCCAACTGGAGGAGGTGTGTGCCGGCTTCACCTTCTGCTGGAGCGGTCGCCCCAAGGCAGAGAGTCGGGACACGGGTGTCGCCTTTGCCATCCGGAACCGCAACATAGGACGACTGTCCTGTCTGCCGCAGACCATCAACGATCGCCTGATGAGCTTCCGTCTGCATCTTTGGGGAAACAAATTCGCCACCATCATCAGCGTCTACACTCCACCGATGACCATTCCTGATACTACAAGAGACAAATTCTACGGGAACCTGTATGCCCTCCTGTCCAGTGTGTCGTAGGCGGATAAGATGATTGCCCTGGGTGACTTTGACGCCCGCATCGGCGCAGACTATGCTGCCTGGATAGGAACGCCCTCTCCCCATGGTCTCCGTGGCTACAATGTCAATGACCTGCTCCTTCTCCGCACCTGCACAGAACGCCGATTCGTCCTGACGAACACGTTCTTCTGCCTGCCAACGCGAAAAAGGCCACCTGGATGCATCCTCGATTGAGTCAGTGGCACCTGATGGACTGTGTCCTCATCTGGAGGCGAAACCAGCGGGATCTGCTGGTGATGAAGGCGAGTCCGGGTGCTGACGGGTGGACCGACCATCGCCTAGTCATCCCCATTCCATCACATTATCCCTTGCCAGTATCTCACCGCACATCAAAATCATCCACCGCAAGCACCCAAATGCCACGTCCCACGCAAGTGGGAAATGTGCGTCTCGGTCCCTTCACCATGCGACTCCCTTGCTGCATGTGTGATCGGCATCTGAGACGAAGACGGTGGGTCGATCGCCGTGGCTCCGAAGTCAACCGACTGACGCCCCAACACAGTCCACGCAGTCTGCCCATTTTGCGTGTTTTGTAGGGTGGCGGACTGCAGAACTGGTGGCCAGGCTTTTACAGCCCCTTCTCAAGCAATTTGCGACACTCCTATGTGTGTGAGGAGAGTGTGTGTACTCTGTGGTTAGTGCCTCTCAGCCGACGACTCAGTCGAATACTGTTTGGTTATTCAACCTTGAACGGTGGTGGTCTAGGCTTAATTCAGGGCAACGTGTCGTCCTTCTAGGTTAAAAGTCCTGAATGCTTGTGCTATGCCTGTATCAGCAAACCATGACCCTTGCAGCCTGGTAGCTCTGGCAGTTTCCTGACACCTGGTTCCCTGCCGGTAGACGCACTCGCGCTCCCGTTGGGTATACAGGTGGTGCGCATGGCTGCCCAGTCATCTTCGTTCTTGTGACCGCTGTTGGGGCGTTGTTGTTGGTTAAAAACCTGATCATTTGCTGTATGGACCAGGGGATGTGGCGTGGAATGCCTAGGTGCGGGCCCTACCGTGCCATTTACCTTGTCCTCCGCCTCTGCTGATGACCCACTCCGTAAAGCCGTCCGCTCGTTGTTTCAACGTACTAAAATGAACAATATCCGCGTTGCACGCCAGAAGATGGCCTTTGCGGATTTTAATAAAGACCTACTTCCGAAGATTTTTGGAGCATTTTTGAGTCCGCATTTTAAAAGACGCCACACAGGTCTGGTTGTCATGTTCAGTTCGTGATAAACATAATATGCAATGGACCACCAAGATTCTTAAGCATCTAAGGTCCTTGCCTTATGTCACCTCTCTAACAAACCAAAATATCTTTCCCCTGATTTATAGGCAAATGCACGGGACCTCTTACAGGCATTCCGCGGGTATAGGGCTTCGGCCTGTCTTTCGGCGAAGTTTTGGAATTTTCCACGACGACTAACACCTGAAGTCACCAATTAAGACTGCGCTCACAGCCGATCACAGTAGAGTGTCAGAAGTTCTCGTTCTCTGTCAACGTAATCATGCCATGATATGTCCTCCATGCAGGTGTTTCGATGTCACCATCGGCGTAAAGCTTTAAAAGGAAATTTGACTGATTGATGTTTGGAAATGCGTCGGCGTAGGAGAAATCCGATCCATGTCTTGAGACTCATGCTCTCATTTTCACATTTTTATGGACCCAGCCCACATGGTTTCTCTGAGCGCTGAGCCCAATTGTACGTCGCAAATACGGTGTTAAAAGGTCCATGTCTATTGCCCCTTTGTAAAATGAGATGAATATGATGTTTGCATGTGACATTAAGACTATCGACGAGGCACACATGGATACTTCTATTCTGGAAAACCTTGTACGATGTTCTGGATAAACTGACGAATGTAATTTCTCAGTGACCACAAGGGAGCCCCAATTTTTGTGTGAAACCTACCATTGCGTATTGAGATGCCTCTATGCAAAATGTCCTGTGACAAATAAAGCCCGTGAAACAGATCATCCGACTACGTTGTAATTCTCCCTTCAGCCTCTAGAGGGCTGCCAGAACACTGCCTGAAGATCGCGATTAACGTTAAAAGAAATGTTTACTTTAGTTTTTTTTTGGTTCCAATATCTCACGAACGAAGGGCATCGGATGTTAATTGCTAAATTTATTGAGCGAACCTTGAATGTTGCATGGTTTTCATACATTCATCTGGACGGAGAGATTAACAACTAGGTTCTTAAATGGGCAAGTGGGTCTCTTAATTATAGACCCTATCCAAATTCGGTAAAAGGGTTGAAAAGTATTGAAAAATCACTGGTGCGGCAGATATTGAGTTTTACAAACATTCGGCAACTGTTTGAGTCAACAAACGGGATAAAAATATTAGTTGCGGATTGTTTCGCCATAAAAAGCTGCCAAACCCCTATGAACGCACGAAAGTTTGGCGGAGGAACTATCTTTACCTCTACGAACAAATTATTTAAGACATCTTGCACCTTCACGCTGAAATGAGGATGGCCCCGCAGCATACCATCTGGGGTATATTGGGAATCACTGCGGTGACGGCCTCGCGCGCAACCTTCTGCGTACAAACATTCGTGCTTTCGATGTCGCTTTAATAAAAGCGTAATCTGAAAGAGGCTTGTCGTTATTTCAGCCATTCGGGAGTAGAAGTCCGTCATCGCCGTCACCATACTCCGCCCTTCTGTTTGCTACTGTTTCCTGTGGGGTAAATGTTAGCACTCTTTTCACACCGCTTGTTGCCATTGCGAGTTTTCTCCTGCTGGCTATCTAGACGCAACCCCCTTCGTCCTTATTTATTCCACACTTTCTAAAATTTGGCTTTGGCTGCTTAAGAGCACAAGTCCTGAGAGAAGACGAATGCAATATACAGGAGCCTTGATTCGCCCAGTATTATGCATTGACTTCTGCTGTTGCAATACTCCCTTTTTTCGAACATTATTTAGTTGCGGATTTTTAAAATGAGCGAGATCAAGGTCGCGCCCAGGTCGCATTGCAAAGAATATGTTCTCGAAAAATATCAAATGCTTCGTTTCGAAGCCAGTTGTCCCGTTAGTATAGTTTTACTGTCCGGAATGGCAGAAATATTTGGAACTGAAATCGTTTGTGGAACGGACCTTTTTTTGGAGACAGGTCAGCGTGGAACCATCGTAACCTTTCACGGTTGCAAAATTGCAGTCAAGGATCAGGGGTTAGCGGCGTACATCATGACAGCTGCAGAAGACCAAGAGATCCCACATGTTTGTATCAATATTCATGCAAATTTGGAGGCAGCAAGAAAGAAGGCCGTGGAAACCCAGTCAAGAGGACCCCGCGTTCTTATATGCGGACAAGAAAGCGTAGGGAAGTCTACCCTCTGTCGTACCTTAGTAAATTATGCAACCCGAAAGAACGCAAAGCCCATCCTAGTCGATGTCAATGTTGGTTTAAATCAAGTACGTTTGCAAGATGGGACTCTACCCGATTCAGATTTGTATACCGACAACGATGGCTGCCATGGCTGTTACCAAGCCGTATGACCTGTACGAAGGCTGGGGTCTGGAAGAAGATCCACTCGTTTTCTGTTTCGGACACTTGGACCCAGCTGCAAACCTAAATTTGTTTCGAGAACAGGTAAAACGCTCGGCGATACGAGTATTTAACATTGTAATAATATTCCGGGATAGTCGTAGATAGTTTTCAGGAAGCCGAAAAGGCCCTTGTATGAAAGATTCTGGTGGGCAAAGCTGTTGACCCGTCTCATGTCCAGTGTGCTTTACACACTTTCTTGCAAGCAGGATTCGTTAAAGTCAGGATATCATCTTCATAGTGAATTAGCACAAAGCGGCTCTATACGTAATGTGGAATCAGGTTTATATTCTCACTCCTGAATTGCTTTCTCATGCTCATTGTCGTGCGGTGTCGATAGATAGACATTACTGTTCCTTTGATGAGTGCACGCTAAAGTCGCCCCATATTGTGGAACCAGGTAGAGTGCTTTACACGAACTCCTGAGGTCGGAGGCTTATCTGGTATTTCCTTTCAACAATCTTAACAAGGCGAAATCTTTTATCTCTGTTTCTGCCGGATTTATGGTTGCCTTGAGACTTTTTCATATCGGTTTGCAATTCTATTAGCATATCCCGGCTGAATCCAGGCAAATTAAACCCAAGGAATCGGTCTCAGTCGTTCTTTGAATTACACTTCTGTAACTCACCCTATTTACGCTCTGGCTTTATCTATTCTCCATTGTCCTCATAAATCAGAACTTAAGTCGAATCTGCTCTGTCCATAGGTGCAGACAAGACTTGTAAAGCGGTCATCCTCGCACCTCCTCTTCTTCATGAGGAATGATCTCATCTCCCTACACTTTTCAATCGCCTGTTAAAAGCACAGAGCCAGTATCGACTGAAAACTTATAGTCCCCATGTTTCTCACCCATCGGATTCCACTGACAAGACTAAACCAATAGTACCTCTTAATTTACAAGGTTTCGGAGTCTGATGCGCACGAGACCTCATGGTAACCGGAATATCACGACAGACCCTTAAGCGCTTTCGTAAGCTGATAGCTGCAAGTAATTTAATAAAACAGCGGCCGTTGGTTGGTGGTAGCCATGGCGGAGTTCAGTCGCCCACCGTCGCAGGTATTTGATCAGTAAATTGACCACGAATTCGGAATTGGACTTGATTTGGCGTCGTCCGTTTGGAGTCAGCTGGGAATGACGATATCAACAATCTTTGTCACAAGGATAGTCAGGCTTCAGTTATCAGGAGTAACTTCGTCCTGCCATGCGCAATACCAGCGTCGGCATGAGACGTAGTCCTCAGTAAATGTGTTATCTTCCCTGCCGCAACGTTATTGCATAGCCTCATTCTTGGACAAATGCTTAATTTTGGATTATAATTATCCAATCCCTCGCTGGCTAAAGAATGACGAAACTGATCCCAAGATAGTGAATGAATGACCATCAAAGTTTGAAAATTTCCAAATTGCTCCCATCGGCTCTTAACTGTGGCGGAATTAATTGTTTCCGATTTCGGCACTAAGCACCGACCTGAGGTCGTGCACGCGACCTTGCGCTGCGAATACAAGACCTAAATTGAAGGGGGACCAACAAAGGCGAAGACCGGAAAGGCCACATCTGGCTTTTTAGACGTAGTCAGCCAGCCATACCACAATTCCAGTTCTGGATAGCCTGTCTCAACACGCACTAATTCTAAACTATGGACTCGCTGTCCCACCGGTTGTGATTGGGAAGAGTGACTAAGGTGACCATTTTTGCCTTAATGACCGCTGTCAGCCCTCGTTAGAGAGCTCTGG